TTTTGGATATTTTTTCTAGGTCTTTACACTCCATCTGCAATTTAATATATTCAATGTATAAAACTTCGCGTTGTGTGCGTATAAAATTTTTTTTCAGAAATATAAAGGTCAAGACATTCTATATCTTCACCCTGACACGCTAAACACTTGTACATCTCTATGTCACACAATACACTCTTTTCTGAATCACCAATTATTTTACAAAATTGATGAAACCATTTTAGGCACGTAACACACTGCACCCAATCAAAATTACAATCATATTAAGTAATTAAACACCTTATACTAGCACACATTTCTTGCTGTTTACAGATTGTTTTTTTTATAGGAGGAGTTTAGGGATATTTTTTCTAATTCGAAAAAATTGTTATTAAAAGCCAACCATCGCGCCTTTAGAATTGTTATGTCTACAAATTGATTGAAAAGTTTCTGCTGTTTTAGAACATTCAACACTTTTAGCAGCCCACAATTCATTCGTTCTCACATTCTCATTATGCGATAATGAGAATGTGAGAACGAATCAGCTTGACAATCTAAAGTCTTACACTCCTTCAACAATAACTTATACAGTTTTAACACAAATCTTAACATAATATGTAAAACAGGTGGCACTACATTATTTAAAGTTATTATGGGGAATATCACAGGAGCAATAATTGATTTATGAAACTTACCTAGAGCTCATAAGTTTCCACCTTGCCTATTTTCACACAAGTTCTCATTGTAAGCAACTTCCAGAGATTGTATTGTCCTCTTTAAGATGTTACAACTAGCAGGTGTGTGAGGTATATAAGCATGGTTTCTAAAAGATTTCAGTTCAACTAGATCTGTTGAACTAGGAAAGCTAGCAGCTGAACCCTGGTGTCCCAGAACATTATAGACGAAATGAAAATCTCCACCTAAGAATAACCTGACTTTTTTGCCTTTTAGCTAAAAATATGCTGAATTCTTTTATTGTCGTTGGCATAATGCCCGAAAATTAAGGTAATATTCTCACGACAGTCTGAACCCTGATACATACAAAACAAATGAACATCATATACAGAACCTGACGATTTAGAATTGACAACTTCAAAATGGAATTTCATATACTTTCCACCCTTATCCACAGTAAAAAAGAGCCATACCTCTTCGCCCAAACTATCATCCGAACAAGGTGGTCGCGTACGTGAAGACTATTAAAAACCTCTTCAATATAAGTTGTCAGATTTTTGACCATCAGTACAGATACTAAACAAGGTACTTCATTCGCAGATGGGTAAAGTAACATGGACTTCACAGTGACATGCGTTCAACGCATGTCACTGTGAAGTGACATGCGTTGAACGTTGAACTCAACAAGGGCGGACGCGATTTTACCACGAGGAGAATAAAAAAAACAAAAAACATTTGGATTACTTAACATTTGAAAAAATATTCAAGTTTAATCTAAAAAAACTATTTCTATTTTATCACTTTTATTATACTATGGCAGTAACACTTTCTGAAATAAAAAAAATGTTAAAAGAAATGTTTAAAGAATTCAAAAAAGAAACTGAAGAAATGTTTCGTAAACATGAGAAAACTGTTATTAATATTATTGGCGCTAATATAAAAATAATTAACGTCAGAATGGACAAAGCAGAGTTAAACATCAACGTGAATGCAAACAAAATTAAAGAACTTACAAAGGAATTGGAAGATATTGAGCATAGTCTAAACTACAACGAAGAACTAGTTGAAAAAAAAAATGCATAACAACAATAAACAACTAGATAAAAAATTTGACCATACTAATATATAAAAATTTATAAAGGAAAAGCAACGAAACCTGGAAGATAGATCAAGAAGAAATAACCTACGAATCGATGGATTTGATGAAAATGGGCTAGAATCATGGGGGGGGGATTCTGAAGAAAAAGTTCACACATTCTTCTAGCAAAAACTTGGGCTGAAAAATATCGACTTTGAACGTGCCCACCGCACTGGATTGAAGAAAGATGGACGACCGAGGACAATAGTACTTAACCTGCAGAAATACAAAGACAAAGTAAGAATCTTGAAAGAATCTCATCGACTAAAAGGCACGAGTTTTTTATTAACGAAGACTTTTCTCGTGAGACCGTTGCAATTCGGAAAAGATTATTTGCGGAAGTAAAACAAACGCGTTCAAATGGTGAAAATGTAACGGTAAGATATGACAAAATTATTTATCTTAATAATAATTTTAAAATCAATCTTAACAAATAACTAGTAGTCCTAAAAAGAAATCCTTTTTTTTTTTTTTTTCTATTTATTATCATGGCTATGACTAATAACTTTGAATCCCTTTTTTTTAATTTATATGAAACAAATCTCTTTTCTTCAGAAGAATACCCTGAAAATAATTTTTATCGCAGTATTTTATCCGATTGTTCGCATTATTTTCCAAACCAACTAAACTAAACACATTTTTAATATAATTTGTTTAATTGAAACTTGGATCACAGAAGATGAAATAAGTAGTAATTTTGATATTCCTCATTTTAATACTATTTCTATGAGGAGAAAAACAAATAAGCGCGGCGGTGGAGTATTAATTCATGTTCACAAAAATTTTGAGTATTGTTTTAATGAGGCTAATATTAAATTATTTAAAGAACAAATATTATTACTGAATTGGAAAAACAAAAATTTTGATGACAACGCAAATAATATTTATGAAACTTTTTTCAAAACATTTTTTTCAGTATATGAAGTTAATTTTTTTTTTTTTTTTATTTTACATTTGTTGGTCGTATTACAACTATATATTGCCAAAAAAAATAAAATAAAAATAATGATAATAATAATAAACTTTCACAAATATAAAATAAGGTATCTGAAAGAAGATCAAAGGATCTTGTCGTCAGAACCTTAAATAAGTTCAAACAAGCATTAACAGTATCAAATTTTTACAAATTTCATATATATATATAATCCAAATATATATTTTATAATCCAAAGAGAGATCACGCGGATCTACTCACCAATATTTTATATAAACGTATACGTGAAGTAAAGAATATAAAATCAACAAAATAAGTAAGAATAAACTTTTTACAAATATAAATAAGAAAAAGCAAAGTTATTAATTTATATTATTAATAATAACATAATACGTCTTCTAATGAAAAAATTAGGGTTTTTAATTTACTTTTAAAAAAACAAAAAGTAATGGGTAGTTCGAAATCAAAATTGGGCAAAACAATTTTATTCCAAAGGTGTGGTACCCGATAGACAATACAAAATTGATTAAAGTTCGTTTGACAGAAAGGTTCATTTAAAAAATCAGTATTTCTCAAATTGTATTTGTTGATGGGTTTCGGAGTAAAAATATCTTTGAAGACAGATTGAGACAAGTCATTTTTCCACATGTATACAAAGCATAAAACATTATATATATTTAGCTCGTATATATTTAAAATTCTCATTTCAATAAAATAATGTTTTGCGTGAGAAAAGCGATTTGCAAAGCAGATTAAACGGATAGCAAGTTTCTGACGGCGATAAAAACTTACTTTTTTCTGTACTACCCCAGGCGATATTAGCATAATTTAAATAACTGTGTATAAATGAATAATAAAGTTTGATTAAAATTTTCTTATTGAGGTAGATTCGTGCTTTATATAAAACTCCTATGTTTTTTGAAATTTTAGTGCTTATGTAGTCGATATGATGATTCCAAGTGATGTTTTCATCAAGGTAAACACCTAAAAATTTTGTTACGGAATCCCTTTTTATTTCATTTTGATCAATAAAAATTTTAGGTAAGTTTAATGGCAAATATCGTTTTTTGGAAAGCGAATGGAATAAGGTCCACTTTGTCTTATTAGAATTTAGAGTTAACTTATTACATTTAAACCAACTCGATACATGTATAAGCTCTTTGTTCATTGTTTTAAAAAGTTCAAAGATATCACTGTTAGAAAGAAATAAGTTAGCATCATCTGCAAACATAATACTTGTTAGTTTAGAGGCTTTATTTAAATCATTAATATAAATTAGGAAAAGGAGTGGACCAAGAATTGAGCCTTGTGGGACGCCACATGTTATAGAAAGACAATTGGTGTGATAACCGTCATTACTCGGAACAAATTGTTTACGATTTGACAAATAGCTTTCAAACCATTTTAAAACTTTATTTTTTATTCCATAGTGTTTAAGTTTATGAATTAGAATTTGGTGTATCAAAAGCTTTTGATAGATCAATAAAAAGTCCTAGAGTATATTGTGATTTTTCAAATGGTTTTGAGATTTCCCGTACAAATTGGATAATTGGATGTTCAGTTGAGCTATCCTTTTTAAAACCGAATTGATTAATGTTAAGTAATTTATTAACATGAAAATATTTGTATACTCTGTTATATATAATTCTTTCTAAAATTTTTGAAAAGGTGGAAAGAACAGAAATAGGGCGATAGTTACTTATAATTGATTTGTCCCCTTCTTTAAAAATAGAAATAATTTTGGCAATTTTTAACAGTTCGGGGAAAACACTTTGATGGATAGAAGCTTTAAAAACTTTAAAAAGAACAACTTTTAGCTGTTCAAAACAATCTATAATAACGTTTCCATTTATTTGATCTGCTCCAATTGCTTTATTTTTTTTTAAAGATTTGAAGGCTCTTTCAAACTCTTCAAACAATAATTTATTCACAACATTTTTAATAATAAGTTTTTTTAAGTTGTTTTTTATAAAAAATGAATCTAGTTTTATAAGTTTTTAAAAAAGATTTTGCTTCTTTTGAGTACCAAGTTGACATATCTTTAAATAATTTTTTTTTTCAATAATATTAGGGATTACTAAAGGTTTTAAAAAATCATCCAGAATAAAACAAAAGTTATACATAAATTTTTTAAAAACAAAAACAGCTTCAAGCGAAAAAATCTATAAGAACTATAAAAACCTATTTGAAAAAATTCGCAAAAATTTAAAGAAAAATTATTACTCCCAATTATTCAATACATTTAAAAACGACACAAAGCGCACGTGGCAAATAATGAAAGAAATTAATCGGAAAAAAAAACCATGCTCCGGTTTTTTGCCGCAAATGGTTAGAGTCGATAACAAAAGTTTATATGAACCAAAAATTATAGCTCAAGAATTTAACAAATATTTCACTCATATAGGACCAACACTGTCTGAAAAAATCCCTAAGACCAAATCTTTGTTTACTGACTCGCTAGAACTCCTGGCTAATTACATTTGTTCAGATGAGTTAGCTTCCGAATTAATGTTTGATGAGTTTGAAAAAGCCTTTAAATCTGTTTTAAAAAATAACACAATTGCAGCATATCAAATTAATGGAAACATGGTTTTAGATTGCTTTAAACAACTTAAAGTTGTTCTTTTTAAAATCTTTAGGGCTTCTATCCATCAAGAAGTATTCCCAGAACAATTAAAAATTGCAAAAATTATTCCAATTTTTAAAGAAGGGGACAAATCTGAAATCAGTAATTATCGCCCTATCTCTGTTCTCTCCTTATTTTCGAAAATTTTAGAAAAAATTATGTTTAACAGAATATACAAATATTTTCATGATAATAATCTACTTTACATCAATTAATTTGGTTTCAAGAAAAATAACTCAACTGAACATGCAAATATCCAATTTGTACGTGAAATCTCAAAATCATTCGAAAAATCACAACATACACTAAGAATTTTTATTGACCTATCAAAAGCTTTTGATACGGTCGATCACCATATTTTTATTTATAAACTTAAATACTACGGAATAAAAAATAAAATTTTAAAATGGTTTAAAAATTATCTATCTAACCGAAAGCAATATGTACCATTTAACAATGATTACCAACCCACTTTTCTTAATATAACCTGTGGAGTCCCACAAGGTTCAATTCTTGGACCTCTCCTTTTTTTAATTTATATAAATGACTTAAATAAAGCTTCAAAACTAACAAGCATTATGTATGCAGATGATACAAATTTATTCCTTTCTAACTATGATATCGATGAACTTTTTAAAACAGTGAACAAAGAACTTAGACATATATCTAATTGGTTCAAGTGTAATAAATTAACCTTGAATACTAATAAAACAAAATGGGTTTTATTTCATTCGATTACAAAAAAGCGACTTCTTCCACCAAAATTACCTCAAATCTTTATCGATCAAAAGGAAATAAAAAGAGATTTTGTTACAAAATATTTAGGTGGTTATCTTGATGAAAACATTACTTGGAATCACCATATTGATTATATAAGCACAAAAATTTCTAAAAACATGGGCATCCTATATAAATCACGAACCTATCTTAATAAGAAAGTCTTAATCCAACTTCATTATTCATTTATACATAGTTATTTAAATTATGCCAATATAGCTTAGGGAAGTACAAAAAAAAGTAAGTGGCAACGTCTATCTCCGTCAGAAACGCGCAATCCGCATAATCAATTTTGCAAATCGCTTCTCTCATTCGAAGCATTATTTTATTAAAAAGAGAATTCTGAATATTTACGAGTTAAATGTATTTAATATTTTTGTATATATGTAGATAAATAACTTACCCCTAGCCGTATTCAAAGATCTTTTCTCTTTTAAACTAGTCAGTAAATATATTTTGAGAAATAATAACTTTTTAAATGACCCTTTCTGTCAAACAAACTTTAATCAATTTTGTATTACCTATCGAGCGTCACACCTTTGGAATAAAATTGTTTTGGCGAATTTTAATTTTGAAGTACCTATTACTTTTTGCCTTTTTTAAAAAAACTGAAAAACCTCATAGATTTTATTGAGTTATTATTAGTAGTAAAAGTTAAAAATATATTTCAGTCTATTTTTTGTTTTTTTTTGTTTATAGAAGTTTATTCTTACTTATTTCATTTATAGTTCTTATACTTTTTACTTTTTAATTTATATGTTGGTTTACTCTTGTATTAAAATCTGATGAGAAGATCCTCTTGATTTTTCTTAAGACACAGATTGTTTGCCTTGCAATTTTGTAAAAGTTTATAATTTTTTTTTTTTAATCTTATATTTGTTAAATGCTATTTTGAGGTTCTGACGACAAGATTCTTGCAATCTTCTTTCAGATACCTTGTTCATGTTTGTTATGTTTTAAATGTAAACCAAAAAAAAACAACAAAAAAAACATGTTCTTTATTGACATGCATTGTCCGCAGGCTCAGATGGGAGAATCCTTGGACCAAGATTACACAGAATACGTCTTAGTCTACGGAATTTAGCCGTGAGCACCCTTAATTGGCTCTGCAGCTCTATTGCATCAGAAACACTGAACTGAGTAACTAAACCTAACTTATTCGCAACACAACGAAATACTGACTTTTCACAATACAAAAAATCACAAAACAACATAGACAAATCACATTCTAAATCTGAACAAGCTAATAATTGAAGGAATTTAATAGCAAGTTTAGATCGTCTAACTGCAGCATGCCTACCTAACTTAGAATAATGTTTACCATGTCGTAACTTAATGGAAGTATATTTTTTCCCAACTATTGGCCTTTTTACAGATATAGTCTGTGGATTACCTAATTTAAATCCACAGAACAATTCTGAAGATCCAATGTTGTCATAGTCTAAATAAGAATCATCAACAACTAAATCCTTATCACCGCTAAAACAACGTTTGCAAATTTGGCAACTACTCTGGTTTATATTACTAACTTTTGCATTATTTTTATTAAATTTATTTTTTTTGAGCAATATTACATTTTTTCGAGCAGATGCAAATTTATGTAGTGATGTTTTGATTTTTTTTTTTTTGAAATAAGTTGGAACTGCTCCTCCTGTTTTAGCCTAATACTCATAACCTCTAATTGAAAACTTAATGAGTTACAATCAAGGCCGGCGCGATAGGGGGTGTGACACCCCTTCCCCCCCCCCCCCCCATCAATGATTTTTAGTTGGCATACTGGACTCTTAGTCGGCAAATTGGACCCTTTTAGACAAGTTAGTCGGCAAAAGTCGACCCTTTCGATATAGGTTTGACAGTCGGCAAATGTCGTCATGGCAGTCGGCAAATTTTGGAAAACAAGGATCTTTTTTTTTTAGTCGGCAAAAGTTATGATGGTACCCCCCCCCCCCCCGCGCCGCCACGTGACACCTACTCGCGTCGGCCCTGGTTACAACGTGTGTCGAAAGCCTTAGTTCCTTATTCCATATTCCTATTCAAAATTGAAAAATAATCTGCATCTGCTGATTTTTTTGTTTGTTTGTAGAGCTGGAGACAATTGCATTTTAAAAAATGTTTTCTTTTTTGAGGCTTCAAAAAACTTATTAAGTCTATTTTTTTTCTGTATTAATTTTTTGTACATTTTATTGAACCCGTCGATACAAGGCAAATAAAAATCAACAGGCAAAATAAAGCTCATAAAAATAAATAATTCTTTTATTAGTTTAAAGACTTAAATAAAATCGAAATGACATTGTTAGTCATTTTACCAATGTCAATTAATCTCTTAGCAAATGGAAAGTTACATTCATTTTCCCAACCATTTTCCCATCCAATGTGTAATTTTAAAATTTCTTCCTCAGCAGAATACATATTTATTAGATATAAATTAAAGTTGTAATAAAAAAAAAATAATAATATAATAAAATAAAAAAACAAATATTTATTGACAAATATATGCACTTGATATAAGAACATTAAACAACTTATTTGATTAGCCACGAGAAAAATTCCGCGTAACTTTGTTATTATCATATTTTGTCTCGCTAAAACGGATGTTTTAATCAAATCCTTTTGATTCACGTAAAATATTAAAGGTCACGTGAATGTTTTAAATTGTAAACAAAAATTTACGCATAAAAATAGAAAAAATATTGTAAACCAGACAAGTTTGAAGACATATGATCTGACAGCTAGAGATACAGAAAATGATTTTTCAATTTTCATAAGTATGAAAAACTGCATTTTCGATAATTTGGTGCCCTGGCAAAAAAATTACGATTTTAATTTAAATGTGATTAAATCAAAAATATAAATGCGTTAAATACTACCTTTTCTTTCAAAATTAAGCAAGGGGCACCAAAAATCAGATATAACAGACACACATTGATAAGTGTTCCAAATCTCAACCATTAAGCATGTAGCTATGCCAGATTTTCTTAGTTGTCCCAAGCCAGGTTTTTGCGTAAATATCGCAAAAAACAAAAAAGTGATCACAAATCATTAGCAATATTTTAATATTATTTATTTTTATTCCGTTTAAGGAAATTATTTAATTAACAAGAAAATAAAGATCTTTTATATTTTCGTTATTTAAAGAAGAAACCGTTTATAGAAAAAAAATGCAACTATTTTAAAGTTAGTAAATTTTTTTACTTTTAGTGCGAAAATGTTTTTTTTTTTTTATAAACTTTTTGAAACTGCCGTGAATTAAAGTCCTCAAAATAAAAAAATTTTCAAAAAAATCTCTTGTGGCTTTTATTTTCGTTAAAACATGTGTACGTACTTAACGACATAAAGACAATAATTGCGTACGACTTTTAGCATCTTGTTTGTTATGGTATAAGGCAGTGGCGTCGCTAGAAGAGTGCGAAGGTGCGGGCCGCAGTAGGTGACACCAAATTTTCCTCTTAATGTTGCTTCTCATCACCAGGTACCAAACAATGCTGTTCCACTTCAACCAGCAATGAACAACCCTTTTTTCCAACAACCTATGCAATCTCAAAACTTTTCTGCCCGAGAAGACAATTCTGGCTGGACTGTCACTCGACCAACTCCTGCACCGAGACAAGACGTTAAAAAACCGCAACTAAGTACTCAAGATCCTTTTGCTTTCCTCAATAATCAAACTGGTTCTAAAAACTCGTCAGAACCTTATACTAGTGTAAACAAAATATCATAAAGTTACTATAAGTACAACAAAATAAAAATAAAATATACATACATATATCACTTTGTAGTATATATACTAAAGTTTAATAAATTTTTCCATAATATAAATATTATTGTCAAATTTTGATAATACGGGAGAGAAAAAGATTTTTCAGCTTAACTTTAAAAAGATGCAAAGAAGTAGGTAGATCAAAATTAAAATTAGGCAAAACAATTTTGCTCCAAAGATGGGGTGCACGATAATCAATGCAAAATTGGTTAAAACTTGTTCGACAAAAAGGCTCATATAGAAGGTTGATATTTCTTAGAGAGTATTTATTGGTAGGTTTCAAAGTAATTAAATCATTAAAAACGGCAGGAGAAAGATTGTTTTTACATATATATACAAAGCATAAAATATTAAAAATATTAAGTATTCTCATTTCAGAAAAAAGATGTTTAGAGTGAGAATAACGATCAGCAAAATTAATTACACGTATGTTTCTGATCTACTAATTGTCTCTGCCAGTCAAGAATTTGCTTAACAAATAATCACTTTTTGCTTGTGCTTTAATACTATCAAGTACTTTTTCATTCAGTTTTATGCATTGTCAGTTTTATTATAAAACATTCAGAAAAAACAAGAAAATTTGCGGCTACAATACTTCACTAAAATATTGAATTTTTTCTCACTGTTTTTAATATGAATCAACAAGCCAAGTTTATTATATTATTTAACAAATTTTTGCCTTATCGTAGATAGGTATGTTGTATATGTTTTGAGTTCAACGTAAAAAATAATTGATAAAAACGCTTAGAGCACGGTAGTTGCTTCAGTTTTTGTTGTAATTAGAAAGGAAGCGAGCGCGAACGCAGGCTTCCACTACCAGAAATTATACTGTCGAGTTACCGACGTTAGCGGTAATCGCAGAGGTCAGCCGGTGCGAAGTGCAATGCACAAGCCTCACTCTGGAAGAAGCCCCTTGTGGATCGAATTTACTTCCCAGTCAGGTAAGTATGTGGGCATTACAATTTTTTGGACATCTTAAAATTGTTACACAGTTCTGCTTGTGGGTTTATTTTAAAAACTCATTCAAACACCCAATCAAAATAAATAAGCAAACAAACAAAATCTAATGCTTCAAAGCGTTTAAATTGCTTCAACTTGTTGTTAACCAGTATTTAGAAACGAGAAATGGTTTTTTTATAAGTAAAGATCAGTAACACTGTCGTGTAAAAAATTTTCAAAATTTTTTTATAAATAGCCCATATGGTTAGCAATATTTTGATTTGGCTGTGACATTACCTACTGCAGTATATTATTTTAAAAACAAAACCTAAAATGTAAAAAAAAAAAGTAGGTTTAAAAAAAACATTTTTTCAGCACAGACAAAAACACCGATGGTGTAATTGTAAAACTATCCTAAGTTGTTGCGTAATCAATTTGATAAAACTGTGAGAAGTCACAAAACATAGATTTCAAGTTTTTAAGAAAAAATATTTATTATTGGAGTGAATTGGAACAGTGTGGGTTACTATATAATATATTATTATTATTGGAGTGGAATTGGAACAGTGTTTTTTCCTAGAACTCAGAAAGGTAGCGAAAGGCACAGTGGTTAGAGTGCTGCCTTATAACAAAGAGTTTCGAGACCGTAAAGACTTCTAGGAGCATCTTAAGAACCACAACAACAGCAACAACAACAATAACAACAACAACAACAACAACAACAATAAATCTTAGCTTAGTTGATGTTTTGTACTCGGAAGAATGTCTTGAAACATTTCTGCGTTGAGCGAAATACCGGGATAGATCTCAATTTGAAAAAAAATTACACTTCAGCTATCCTCAAATAATAGGATATACAAATCAACAACTCTTGAACATCGGAGATGTTTTGAAATTCAATGTAGACTCTAAGGCATGGGGACATTCCGGTTTTGTTAATCCTACAAAAAACCTTTTTTTTTTAATTTTATTTAAGAATATACTGCTCTTGAATTTTATTTTGTAATCATTTTAAATAATAAAGTGTTAAAATTTTTTTGCATCAATTGAAAGAGTAAACACCGAAAACTGAGTTTAGTTTAGTTGAATTTTTCTGTTTTTTTTTTTGTTTTTTTTTTTTTCAATTTATTTATATTTTCGTTATTAAAAAAATAAAAGTTAAAAGACAGTGCTCTTTTTTTTTACTTAAACAACATAACTTGTACGTCAATTTTTTATTGTTAACTTGTGTTCTATAGGTGCGACTGTACCCCATTTATTTTTTACATACTACAGCCGTACTACAGTATGTAACTTTGATGATCAGAACATTTTAATAACTGTTGTAATAAAAACATTACTAATAATTTGTTGTTTTGTAGTTGTGTGGCTATTGTGCATCCTGGTTAGTGTTGAATGCTACCAGTGCAATTTAAGTAGCCACGCCCATTTTTTTTAAACTTTAACAGTGATCTCAAGTTCACTATTGATAAATATATAATTACCGTTACCTTTTGCTTCGAAGTAATTTCCGATTCGAAATTTTTTTGCATCAATTGAAAGAGTAAACACCGAAAACTGAGTTTAGTTTAGTTGAATTTTTCTGTTTTTTTTTTTTGTTTTTTTTTTTTTCAATTTATTTATATTTTCGTTATTAAAAAAATAATCTTTTACAATGTTTTTACAACATAAAAAATAACATTAAAGTTTCGACCGGAGACATGGTCTAATCATTTATCCCCGTTAATGTAACTAATAAATTCAGCCGATAAAAGTGAAAAAAGAAAAATGAAACTAAAGCAAGAACTGATTTAAAAATCAATTTGCTATTTACAGAAAAAAAAAAAAAAAAAAAAAAAAAACTAATCATTTCTTCTCATTATTTTTATTTTTTTAATTCTCAATTTTTTTCTACTTTTATTTTTATTATACACGCACGCACGCACACACATACGCACACGTACACACAAATATATGTCCATTCATATATATATACATACAAAATCAAATAAATCTGTTTTATATTCCCTCTACAAATTGCGTAAGATATAATAAATATTGCATTTACAAATTGCGTAAAATAAAATAATCTCATACAAGTTTTAAGTACCATACAATATAATTAAGATGTTGCATCAATTAATAAGATTTTAAATAACTAAGATTATCAAAAGTTTTTAATAATAGGATAGTAATTGCTTTGTATCAAAATCAAATAAGTGTTGTTTTGTTGCACGTTTAAAATGTTGAAATGAATTTAAAGTTTTTACATTACTTGTTAAAAGCAAGTTCCATAACTGCGGTCCTCGGCTGAATATCGAAAAATCAGCTTGTTTTGATATCGTTTTTGGTATAATAAAATTATTTGTTGAGTATTTGTGGTTTAAAGAAAAAAAATAAGTTTAGAAAATGCTTGGTAGCATACCATTTTTAAACTTAAACATAAAAATAAGTATAATTATTTCATAGACATTAGGCACATCAATTTCTTATAGTAGTGGTCTGGCGCTAGCGTATTTATTTGCATTTAATATCAAGCGACTTGCTCGTTTTTGTATTTTGTAGATCATATTTAAGATTATATTTTGAAAGACAAGTACTTGCCCAGATAATGTTGCAGTAGCTTATGTAGCTATGAATAAATGCAAAATAAATATTTTTTAAATAATTTGTGTTTAGCAGATGTTTTGTTCTATACATAATACCAATAATTTTAGATATTTTATTTTCTATTACTTTGATATGATTACTCCAGCTAATATGTTCATTAATTATTACGCCTATAAACTTGATTGAGTATTCTCGTTTAAGTTTAGTTTTATCAATTATTAAATCAGGTAGTTTTAAGGGGAGGGTTTCAGATTTTGATAATTTTGTAAAAAGAATATATTTATTTTTTCGACATTTAAAGAGAGTTTTTTAGCCTTAAACCATTCGTTCAGGTTTTCAAGTTCTTGACTAACAGTGTTAAGTAATAGACTATGTTTTGTGTAGCTTTTGACAATTTGTGGGTTGTTAATTTGAAAATAAGCTTGTTGTTATTAACGTTTTTTTTTAAAACGTTGCTTCGTTAAACTTTATGACGATTTCGATCGCATTATTTTTTTATCAGTATTTAATGGCTTTTAATCAGTATTTAATGACTTAATAAATTGGTTATAAAAATTAATGTTTTAATAGTGTTAACTTTTTATAAATTTGATAAAAAGCAAACTTTTGATTGAAAAACATTCCGAAAACCAAAAAATTTGTAAGATTTTAAATTTTTATCTAATTTAGAAAAACGGTTCTTTTTGAGAATTTTCGCAAAAGTTTTGAGAATATCTTGAAAAAATCTTGTTTCGCAGAGAAAATCTTTCAGTTGTTAACTTTCGCTATTAACTTATATTGCCAACTTGGTATTAAATCTCAATTTTTGATACGCGTGTAATCAACTCTAACATAATGTGAGTATAAAATTTATTTTTTTTCGGCTAGTCTAAATTAATTTCATTAGAAAAATAAATTTTTCTAATCTAATTAATTTGGACTAGCCGAAATGTTGTTATCGCTTTCAGAAAAATATTTGCCAAAATGTCAGTTTCGGCACCAAAGTAGAGCACCAGAAATTTTGGTTTATTTTGGTTTTGGCTTTTTTTCTGTTTTTATTGTTGAACACTACAAACTTGTAATTGTATTAAAGAACAAAAAAAAAGTGTTTTAAGTGAAATCACTGATAATGAGAAAACTAGGTTATGACTCTTCCCAAGGCATATTAAAGTTAAAGAAGAACTTCCTTATAACTTTTTTTATATTAATTGGTCTTGAACATACCTAATACAATAGTTTCGTTTTTTCTTTTAAGCACATATGTAAATTCTTTTAAAGCATCTACAAAAGAATTTGAATTATCATTTATAATAAATCAGTTCTATAATATATGAATAATATAAACCATTAATATTTTACCATATCTGTGCATTATTAGGCTTTTTTCAAAAAAATAAATACGACTGGATTAACAAACCACTTTTTAATTATTTATTAAGTTAACGTTATAAAGTGGTTTATAAATATTTTTTTAATTATATTGCATTTTTTGGTAATGATTCTAAATAGCACTTTTTTAAGTTTTATTTTTTATTCATTTAAAAAAAATTGTAGAAAAGTTTACAATTTATTAGTATGTAAAGATATTATAAGATGTTAATAATATAAAAAGATTACCGATTTCCATATATATACCAAATAATCCATCTGTATATGGTTTATTGAATTTAAATCTATCTTTAGAAATTAAAATTGAGTAAAACTAAATTTTTTAGAAAATTAATATTTCAGTTTCAGTGGCAAACTATGGCTGTTACAAGAGCACAGCTGACTTGTCCTGTTTATGGCATTCAATGTGAACTTGCTTCTCACAAGCTTCTGTTAACGATTTTACACAACATTATTTTGTTAAATTATAACTTCCCAGGATTGCCAAGCACAATAGTTTCTAGAGTTTCTAAAATTGTGACAGACATTTGGTTAAAATCTGACATTTCAACTGTTACAATGTAAAGAGTGTAACAGAAAGTAGAATCTTTGCACAATAGTTTGAAAATGGTTTTTAAAAGAAAAGTTGAACCAAATACTTCAGCAGTGTCAATTGCTAAGGTGGAAAGTTTAGTTTTGTTTGGCATTGCAGCATGTCATTGTTTAAAAAAAAAGTAGTTGCACATGCCCTAGAAAATCAAAGGTGCTATTTCTTGAGTACGAATTTTTTAATGAATCAAAAAAATGAAAGAAATATGGTTATTGGTTGTTAGGATAAGGAAATTAAGTTTAACATTAGCCTAAGCATTTAAAAGAAGCAAAAAGAGATAAAACATGATTTCTTTTCATCTAGCAAAAGAAGTATTAAAGCATCAGTTAGTATTGCCTCTGATATAGATGCAGAAAATACTTCCATTGATGAGGAATTTATTGACACTCAGAGCAATGCTGGTAACTATCAATTGTCAGATTTCTGTGATACAGGTAGCAAATTTGGTGGAAATATGAAATTTCCAACAGTTACTAAAGAATGTGACAGGTATGGTGTATCTGATGCTGTTGGAACTGCAATTCCGTAATCTGAAACTGTGGCTATTGCGTTAAGACCAAAGTCATAGATCAAGCTAAGTTAAGGCACTAAAGATAATCGCTTAGAACTACATTATCCCAAAATCAATTTTCTTTGATGGGCAAAAAGGTAAAACCCTTTGTGCATTAGCAACAAGCAGTTGAGACTGCACCACTATATTAGACCTCATTTTTTTTGGTTGTGTTACTTCATCTTGTGCATCGTCAGCAAATATCAAGAATGAACTATTATTGATATATTTTGCATTGCATACAAAATATCTCAATAATAGTTTTTTGTATTTACATACATATAAGGAAAAATAACATTTATAAAACTTTGTATTGGTCATAAGAAATGATTGAACTAATTATTCTAGTGCTAACCTAATCATGCTATTGCATAACCTAATCATGCAATTGCATAACCTAATCATGCTATTGCATGCTATTGTGTTACCTAATCATGCAGTTGCATAACCTAATCATTCTATGGTGTTACCTAATCATGCTATTGCATAACCTAATCATGCTAGTGTGTAACCTAATTATGCTATTGCGTATGGTTTACAATAAGTAAAGCTATTTTAATCTAAAACGCGTTTTTAAAAAAATTTAGCTTTTGGATCAAAATGGTTCTATTACCAGTATTGTCTATGAATGCTTTTGGTGAAAATCTATAAATAAAAAATACAACATGTAAGTTCACAGTTACATGTTGTATTTTTTTTTCAGATTTTGCTTTTTAAAAAGTTAAAGGTATAACCTGAAAATACCAAGTTATAATAAGTCATTGCATTTTTTATAGCACAAATTTTTACACAGCATATATTCTAATTATCAAAACTGACATATTTTCAATTAGAAGGCAGCAAAAGAAGGAAAAATTAATTATAAATGTTAGAGCAAATTTTAGAACATTTTTTTGCTATTCAAAGTAAATTGAATTAAAAAAATACAAAGATGACATACCCTAATACTTACATATTTCTTATAATTTTTATGTTTTTAAAAGAGGGTTTCAAGTTTTAACACATGTTGAATTTATAAAAAACTTTTTTTTTAAGTTTTTATAAATGTTAATGTATGGGAAAACTTTTTTTCAAAAAAACATTGTATACAATATAGGTAATGCAACGTCTTTTTAGATAAGTAAAATGTAGTTTAATGCTTTAAAGCTTAATTAAATATTATGCCACCATAAAATCTTGCTTAAAGTAATAGTTGGCTTAATGAAATAGTTGGCTTAACGAAAGTTTCACTCCACTTGAAGGAGTAGGTTGACTATAATTTTTTAAATACAAATATTATAAAGATGGAATTTTTAACTTAATTTGATATTTATTATAAATGTTCAAATGATTGTTTTAAACTTTCATTATTACATTGTATTTAAAATACGATATAGTATTGTATTTGTTATTTTTTTTTTACTTTGTTTTGGTAATTGTTTAATTGTGAATTGCTTTGATAGGCTGAGTTAATAATAAAAACCTTGATAGAGTTATTCCAAGAAGTTTTTGATCGTTACAAGAGCGATAAAGAGGGAAATCAAAAAGAATCACAAGAAAAAAACAATTTACCAGCTGACAATGTCCAAGAAACAGAAACGTTTGACAAAAATGAAATAAATGAGGTTTTTAAGAATGGTTATTTATTTTTGAACAATATTTAATTAATTTTCCCTTGCACTCTGTTTATTCATCACATGCCTCCAAGCACCCTGTTTCTTTCAAAACTTTTATATATTACCCTTTTAGATAGCAACAACTTCCTTAGTTTCCACCTTTTCACACAATATACTTTTTCATTCTTCTTACAAGCACTTTATTTCTATCATAACCCATTTCCTTTTATTTTATCTTATTGATATTTTATTTCTAATTTAGAATCAAACTGAAGGAGGTTTGTTGAACTGGGATACCCTTAATGATCAAATAAAAGTTATGCAAAATGTGAGTATTTGTATTGATTTCTATTTAATTTATTGGACTGAATTTGTTTAATTTTTGTATAAATTGCTTTTCTTTTTTTCTTTTTTTTTTTTTCATCTCAGTAATTGTTTTTTATCTCTATTATTTAAATGTTTTTTACTTTGGTTAGATGAATAATACTTATATTGTATTTAGGGAGGTTGGCAATTTTTCAACATTTTAAGAGCAGTTTTTATTGAGCTATTTTGTAAAAAATTCAAGCAGATTTTTTTGGTAATAAACACATTAAATAACAACAATGTTATTTAATGCTTTTACAATAAGTAAAGGAATATTAATCTAAAACGCGCTTTTAAAAAAATTTAGCTTTTGAATCAAAATGGTTCTGTTACCAGTATTGTCTATGAATGCTTTTGGTGAAAATCTAAAAATAAAAAATACAACATGTAAGTTCACACTTACATGCACTTTTTTTTAGATTTTACTTTTTAAAAAGTTAAATTTAAAAATTACATTAAAACATGCTTTTGTTTAATAGTTATATAGTAGGGTGTATAAAAATTATTTTTTTAAATTTTGTTTCATCATAAAGCAAAAACATTGTATAACGATTATTAGTATTAATTGTTTCTAGTTTTTTTTTTCCTTTTACAATAAAACACATTTTTTGCTATTTTTGTAGGTAAAAAAATTGCAAATTTTAGACATGATTGGAAAATGAAAACTTTATTTTAAGCTGTAGCAATAACAGGGTTTAATTATCTGATACATTTGTTTATGTCTTAAACTGGAAATATAATTTGAATTCAAGGCTTTATTTGTTATGATGCAGACCTTACAGGCCTAATCATAATAACTAATATATAAAAATTTATATTAAGTGAGTGTGAGAGAGTATCTGAGATCATTGCAAAAGCATGTTTTTCCAATGTATATATGAGGCTTTTTTTTGTATCACTGGATTGACGATAGTTTTTATTTCACTACTGACATACCAGCCTACCCCTTTGACGAATTTGATCAAGTCTTATTTGAAACTGCATTTGGCAGTAAACTTTGATGAAGAACTCAATATATATTCTGTTTTTAGTGGTCACTCATTTATCAATTTTTAGTTTTACAGAATTTCAGTTTATTATCAAATTTCAAATTATTGTTTACAAGCCAAACGCTTGTGGACAATACTTTGTAGATACTACACATCTACAAAGTATTAGGCAAGTATTTTCAGTTAGAACTAAAAGATTTTTTAGGTATGACAAATTTAACTCCTGACATCAGTTTATTGACAAGGTTTTTGAGGTGGGGGTAGTTTATTGGCATGTTTTATAACAGTGCACAGTGGGCCGAAATTATTATTAGCTGGACAAAAGTAATAACTTTTAAAGTATTAATCAGATTTTTCCCATAATTTCCAAGTTGAGTATGTTCCATACTACAAATTTAATGGTACCATTAGATTGTTTATTTAGTTGCTATGGATACCTAGATTCCATAGCAACAGTGCATTTTGCATAGTTACCTAAATTAAGAGACTTTCTTAAAATGCCAAATTTATTAACTAAACTGATGTTAATGCTACAATCAAGGCCCGATCTAGAACAACACAGACTATAGTCTGTGTTGTTCTAGATCGGGCAACACAATTCGGGGGCCCCCTTGTCAAAAAATTATTTGAAGGAATAAATGTATCCTCATTTATTGAACCCTGAGGGATTTAGAATTTAGACAGTTAAAACTTACATGTATTCAAATAAGTATATTTTTTTCCTTGATTTTTCTTATATAAATACATTTAGAATCTCTTTAAAATCTAGACTTTTTGTCACTTCGCTTTTGATAGACATTAATGCCAATCCAGATGAATGATCTTTCGTCAGAACATTTTGACACAAGAATGGATAAAAATATCCTTAGAGCAGTTTCCACCTTTGGAAATGTGTGCGAAATGCCACTGTCCTTTATTAATTGCAGCATTTCATTCGGGTTGTTGATGTTAGGTACTAAACTCTTCTTTTTTTTTTAGGTAAAAAAAAGGTACAAAACTCTTTTTTTTTTTAGGGTAAAAAAAAAGCTTTTTAAAGTTTTCTCTAGCATTCTGAACAAATTCTGTAAGTGAATCATATAATGGGGCAATGGTTGATAGATCACAAGAGTATGACTGCAGTGTTTTATTGACCTTATTGATCCTTTGAAGCAATGTGTGCCAGATTATTGTTAATAATACATTTTCGAAAGATTTAACTTTCTCCAGCAAACAATTTGCTTCAAATCTTGTATTGTCTTTTTCCGTTTCATCATGAACCATTTGCGTCAAAATTAAAGTGATGGCATTGTAGTCTTTCCTTAATGCTCGAACCGCATCTGCGTTACCAGACCACCTGGTTCCAGAAAACGATTTTAAAGTTAGTCCTTCTTTTACGGTTTTTATGTTGGAAGTGAATAACTCCCGCCTACGTGGAGAAACTGAGAAGAATGTGTACAATGCTTGCACAAATCCAAAACAAGCAGTTGCAGCTCTACACAACTCCACTGCATTCACTTCCACCAAATTAAGAGAGTGAGCAGAACAGGGAACAAATTCTGCTAGAGGATATGCAGCTTTTAATCTTGTTTGCAACCCAGAGTATCTTCTAGCCATGTTACTTGCATTGTTATATGATTGTTCGCGACAATATTGGAGATCTATTCCAAGATCTTAAATTATTTTGGTTACTACTTCATATAAATTTTCTGCACCATGATTGTGGAACAAAAGTCAAAAATTGTTCTACTGAAACAGACTGCAAATATCTCACCACCAAACACAGCTAGTCAATATGCGTTATGTCTGGTGTAGAATCTATGATGATTATGAAGTACTTGGCCTCCTGAAGTTCTTTAACAATATATTGTTGCACTTTTGAGGACATAACTTTTAAGATTCCTGCCACAGTCTGAGAAGACTAATAGTTGACATGGCCCTTTCCTATATTACCATGTTCACCAATGTGGCCTGCTAAGAAGGGGTCAAACTTGCTGATAAACTCTGATAAACCTAAAAAATTGCTATTTTGTTTAGAACCAAAGGTTTCATTATCGCCAAAAATATCCAAACCTTGCTGTGCAATAAACTTGAATACTTCAACAACACACACTATAACATCTCTCCAGTATGTACGTTCATTTTGATTTTGTTGTGCCATTTGGCTACGCCCAGCGGTTTTGGAAAGTTGGCACACACTAGTATGATGCAAAAGTGGCATTCCATGACTTGCTAGTCTTGATGTGACATTCTTCCAGCCCCTGAATCCAGTGGTGCAAAGACCTTGATCGCTGTTTCCAAAAAGCTTGCAGACATAGCAAAATACTGATTTTGAACTTGGAGAATATATGAGCCATTCCCGCTGAATTTTTTCACCGTTTTTTTTAGGCGGAAAAAATTGTTCTTTGAACACATTCTAACTTTTTTTCCAATTTGTTGTCCCGAATCAGATATAAATTCTACAATTTGCTTTGGTGGATTAAGAACAAAATATTCTCGAATTGTCAAATTCATAGGAGGCCACAGAGCAGGATCATCCAAGTTATCAGGCTTATCTTGCAATGTTACAGGTGAATATTTAATATTCATTGAACAGGGATCTCCTGGCAACTAATTCTTCTAAAGCAATTTTTTTTTTCAACTGTAATTTTTTCAACAGGAGGATTTTCTTCATGAGGAGCAATTTCTTCATCAGGAGCACTACGAACAACAAATTTATCCAATGACATTCATTTAGGTTTTTCTTGAACAAATTTTTCTTCCTTTTTTTTACATTTAGAAGATCCATACGGATATTTTCTCGGAAACATTTCCAATAGCTCAATATAGAATATATAGGGGTTAAAATAGCGATTAAAATAGTAATGTTTATATTCGCTCTCTGGTTAAATGAAAAAAGCATTAGGCTAGAAAAGGTAATCGGATTACTGGAAATACAGCTTACGTATAGTGGCTTTTAGGATTACCGTAATAAGTGTTGGAAGAGTAAGTATAATATATTTACTGAATGTACAGATTTTACTGCTTAAATCGAAACAAATCATCTTGAAATTGATTCAGTTCTTTTTTAAACATAAAAAATTATTTATAGAAAGAGGTTAAAAAATAAATTAAATCACAACTTACAATTTAAATTTTAAATTTAAAATATCATAAAAATTCATATTTTAAACATCCTTAAACAAGAAAAATAAACTAAATGTATATACCATCAGTGTAAATCAATAAATCATCTTTATAATCGTCATTTTTATTGCTTTCTATCTCATCTATGAATTTTTGAATTTCTGTAAAACATAGAGGTTAATATTTGTATATTTAAAAACATTTTAGTTCTTTTTTACCTAAAAATTTTTTAAATAAAATCAATATTTTTAAATTTTACTGTTACGTCAGTAAAGTTTTGATTGGCTAAAAAAATATTAAAAGCTGAAATTTTGGGGGCCCTAGGCCTGGGCCTAACATGCCAGGTGAAAGATCAGGCCCTAATTTTTGGTGTTGCTATGTAGTTTTGAGTTCTTAGAAACCAGTTTTTTTTTTTTTAATGAAACTTTTGCTTAATTCAAAATTTCTTTAAAAAAAATGAAATAAAAACTTAGAAAACAATCTTAAATCTAAGGGTTTAAAGGTACAGTTAATAAAGTTCAAATTAGTTGTATCTATTTAGTTTAATTGTCCTTAGCAACCAAATAAAAATCAACAAGCTTTCATACAGTTATAACTATAGATAACTTTATAAAGTATATGTAAGAATACAAGCAAATTGGTATATTCACATAAACATTTATTTACATAATATGCATTATTTTATTATATAAACAATTTTATCAAATAAATAAATAGTAATAAAGTAAACAACATCTTAAATACCAACTAAAATCAAAACTATGCATTTGCAATTTATAGTTAGTCAAAAATTGGAACCTCTTTGAGTATTCTCTAAATAAAATAACATGTAACATCTTTATCATACTGACATCAAGTTCAAGAATTTGAGCAAACTTTTTTGCATTCTAAAAAACCTTCTAGCAGTGTTTCCATTATTTGATGACCCAGAGTCACCAGACATTTTCTTTTCAAATATTGTCCTTGTAGACCACTTTTTCACCGTTAATTTATAATTAATTTTGAGAAGACACTATGCTTTTAATCCAAGTATGGAAAGTTACAAGGCCAAAGCAGAGACCTTTAGCTGCATTAAAATGATTCATTTTTATTGTATTGCTTCCACAAACTGAGCAACACTGAAAGGATATAGTTGCTTTAGATGTTGTATCAACTTCGAATTAAATAAACTAGCTTCTTCTAAAAGATTTCTGTTTTCTTTCTCAACTGTTACCTGAGTATAAATCCTTTGACTAGTTGAACTATCAAACTGAACTTTGGAATATGATTTTAGTCTTTCAAGATTATTCATGGAATCGATAACTTGTTTCTATGACTGCATTAGGTGTATTGCTGTATGATCGACTAATGCTTGAAAGTTTATTTTTCCAGAAAAAATTATTAATAGTCCATAATGTTTGTTCAGAAAGACAATGTTCTTTACCAGCACCAACATTATTGTGTGCAGGATAGAGAACAACTTTTGCTCACATCATTAATTTTCAAGTGTTGGTAAAAAGATTTGCTCATATTATTATCTAATATGAGTGCTAGAGCTTTTTTTAGAGTGTTTTGAGCATGTTCTGAATCATAAGGTTGCTTTACAGATATTCTTCAAACTACTTTTGTCATCTTTAAAAAGACTACTAGCATATAACTACTAGCATATAACAGTTCATTCGAAGAACTGTTTAATAACTGCTACTTTACGACTCTTTGTCTTCTTTGATGAGTTCTTAAATGATTCTACAGGCCTACCACTAACTATAGATTTTGTTTTATTATCCTAATTTTTTGATGATTTAATAGTCTTTTTATTTAGGTTGGAGTCAGGAATTAGGTTACATAAAATTTTCATAAACTCTTTATACTTTGACAAAAAAGTTACAAATTGAGCATCAAGTTTGTCTTTTTCATTAGACATAAATAAAGATAAATCATGAATTGATGAACTTGATATCTTGTAATTGTTGACATATTACTAAAAACAGTATTAAACTTTAAAAAAAAAAAGATTTCATTTTACATTATTAAAGTATTATTATACAGTATTAAAAAGTAGCAGGTACTAGCAGCTAGATAAAGAATTTTATGAAAGCATATTTCCTTCAAAATCTGCATAGCAGATAAGGGCAAAATGGAACACACATTTTTCCTTGTTGATGTTTCAAAAAAAAGTATAAAAAAAGGAAATTTGCTACCAAAAGTTATGTTAGCACTGGTTTAATTTTTTTTTTTTTTGTATTCTTTTTGCTTTATAAATTTTATACTCAGGTCATTAGGAAAGTTCGTAGAACTCCCCTATTAAAAAAAAAAAAGATTTTTTTAATTTTATTTTTATTAAATGTTCAAAATAATGTCCATCATTATACAAAGTTGCATCCTTTCAAGCCATTTATGAAACGTTTTTTTATACTCCTCTTTGGATATACTTTCAAGTAGCTTCGTTATGTGGGTTTTTTAGCTTTCGACGTCAGTATCGTCATCAAGCTTTTTTTTATCAAGTTGAATAGCCAATAATCGGATGAATAATGAAGTCTGGTGAGTATAGTGGATGGCGAATTATTGTAATTCCAGCTTGGTTTATACACTTTGTGACGGTTTGATTTACATGGGGTTGAGCGTTATCATGGAGAAAATGGAAATTGCTTGTTTTAGGTCTTTGCTTATTTATTTCACATATAAGAGGTTTCAAGCAATTTTTTATATAATATTCGCTAGAAATAGTGTCTCCCTTTTCAAAGTAACCCAAATAAACAACACCTACTGTTTTAAAGAATATATAGAACATGCTCTTTGTCTGAAACCTATTTCATCTTACTATAGTTCTTGGATTTTCACCTTCACTGACCCAACTAATGTTAGCTGACTTGTGTCCAACTTGTCTCAAATAAAATCACGACTCATCCCCTGTAACAATATCACATAGCCTCCATGGGCTGCTTCTGAAAAGGGCTAAATTTTCTTTACATACCTTAGCTCTATTCTTTCAATTTTGATTGGTTAACTCGTGGGGGTATCCAACGTGATGTTAGTTTTCTTTTTTTAAGTGCGTAGTGAATGATTTTGTTGATTGTAAAATGATTCATCGACGTCAGTGCTTCAATTATATATATATATATATATTTATATATACATATATATATATATATATATATATATAATATATATATATATATATATATATATATATATATATATATATAAATATATTTATATATATATATATATATATATATATATATATATATATATATGTGTGTGTGTGTGTGTGTGTTGCATATGGGTTTTGTTCAATAATGGCTCGCACACATTCAATATTCTCAGCTGTATGCGTAGTTTGAGGGTGCCTTGAGCGAGGATCATATTCAAGACTCTCTCTACCATCTTTAATTAAAGTAGCCCACTTGGCAACTGTACTATATTTTGGAGCTTGGTCGCCATGAACTAAAACCAATTCATTGGTTATGGCTTGTGCTGAAACTCCAAGTAGAGCAAGGGTTTTAATATATGCTCAATATTCAAGCTTTTCTATTTTTAAATTTTTTCTTTCAAACCTATATAATAAAATTTAAAAAACTTTTTTAATAAACATTCAAAATATTTCAACAAGTACTTAAAATGTTCATAATTAAACACAGTTTAAGATGATATATAAATATTTAATTATTTCCTGTTTTATTGTAACTTTATAGATGAAATTCTACAAACTTCTCTAACGACCTAAGTATAATAGCAATGGTTTGATTAAAGTTAATAAAAACATTTAATCATTATAACAAAAATTTATTAAACACTTTTGCTTTGTAAAAAACTACATTTATTCGCTTTGTCACTTTATTTTTTTTTTTTATTTTTTTTTTTTTTTTTGCAAAAACTTTACTTGAAATAATTTTTTGTTAAGAATATTTTTTTTTTTTAATTTAATTCGAATATTTTTGACGTCCCCAATATATCTAATTAAAAATTTTTTTTTTAAATTTAAGTTTTCAGACATAGATTTTTACAGTGTAGTGAGAGCATTTTAAAAAATTTATAATAATAATTTTTTTCTAAGAGTAACTAGCCCCCCCCCTTCCCGCCGCTCTGCTAAAACTAATTTCAATTAAAATAGGGACATTTCACTTGACAAAAACTCATGAAACAGTTTCTTTTGTCAAAAAACAACCCTCTAACGGCAAATAAAGACATTAAAATACTTTCCTAAAAAATCAAAACTTTTATAACTGATTCAATGTGTAGTTTTGAACTCAATTACATTCTAATGTAATTGAGTTCAAAAAGTATAGTTGAGATTTGATTTGTATTTTTGTTATTAATTGGTCGTTTATTTGTTTTTAATTAAAGAATTTATCATGCATTGGTTAATTGACCATTTGTTTTGAAACCATTTGTATTAGTTAGATTAATGTTTTATTTGGTAAAATCAAATTTTCATTACTTTTATTATGAGGATATTTTTAGGATGTCAATGAAGATTCATCTTTTATGACAGACTTTCAAGGTCAAAAACAAACAACCAACCCATTTGATGATGACAACTTTGTTTTTAAAACTGAAGAAAACATAGATTTGTTTGGAAGTGTTTCTTTATTTTCAGACACAACTACAGTTAAAACTAATAATAATGCCTCCGATGACTTATTTAATCTAATAGCTTCTCCTCCCCCTGCTCCTGAAAGACATTTTTCTGATGATTTTTCTGACGGCTCGCTATTAATCAGTGATCCGTTTGCTGAATTAAAAAAGAACATTAATGAACTGCACAAACAAACTAAATTTCAACAACAACAACCATTTGGTTACCAAGGCGTGTTTCCTTCGACTCCTGTTGCTTTTCCCCAATACCAACAGTCTGGGTTTCAAAATAGTTTATACCACCAGCCTCAACTAGCAGTAAACAATCCATTTGCACCTACTGCAAAGTTTCCTCTTAATGTTGCTTCTCATCACCAGGCACCAAACAATGCTGTTCCACTTCAACCAGCAATGAACAACCCTTTTTTCCAACAACCTATGCAATCTCAAAACTTTTCTGCCCAAGAAGACAATTCTGGCTGGACTGTCACTCGACCAACTCCTGCACCGAGACAAGACGTTAAAAAACCGCAACTAAGTACTCAAGATCCTTTTGCTTTCCTAAATAATCAAACTGGTTCTAAAAACTCCACTGTCTCCGCTTCGTCTCCGAAACTACTCAAAGAAACCTCGACACCTCGTAACGATGTGTTTGATTTGCTAAGCTAACTCAAACTATGGCGTTAAAGAAATTTAAAAAAAATTGTAATAAAATGGTTTCTGTCTAAAGTGGTGTTAATAGTTGTTGTTGTTTTTTTTTTGTTTTTGTTTTTTGTTTTAGTATAAATATATTTTTCATATATTTTTATTTTTATCTTGTTTTTAAATTTTTAAATCGATTATTGAATAGTTTTTCAGATTATTTTAATGTGAAGAAAATATTAATATATAGTACAACAAATTAAAATTATAGTAATTCGACATGCATATTTATAATTATGTATTTTTTTAAATATAGTCAAATTTTTATATTCTATTTTTGTATTTACGTTCTTTTATATTGTATTTTTTATGAAGATGATTTAATAATTTTGCGCTAAATTTATTAATAATTTTCTCCTTTTTTTAAACGTTTAAACAACCAATAAAATAATAACTTTTTTATTTATTTTTTAGAAATTTTTCGCCCTTCTAAGTTTGGCGTCTGGGGCCGCAGCCCGGCTAGCCCCACCCTTAGTACGGTCCTGTTGGCAACATCCACTTTCTCAACTTTGCTTTTAAAATGTTTCGATAATTTAGAAAGTATGCTTTTAGAATCTGCTCGTTTCTTTCGTTTTTGAATTTGAAAGGTAACATTTTTGAAAAAGCTTACATGTTCATAAATTAAACTTCACAAAATTCATAAAGGAAATTCTCAAAATCACAAAAATAGTTGGATGATTCAATTAAAATAATGTTATCAATATCTTGTGACAAAAGATCCGCCATCTTTTTATCTCTCCGCAGTATATTTAAAATCACGAAGACTGTCCGTGCGACTATCTTTCCATAACTCATCGCTATGCTGTTTTAGTCTAGTCAATTTTTACTCTAGTCAAGAAATCTTTTTTTTTTTTTTTTTTTTTTTTAATATATATAGTTATAATATATATACATAGTTTACATTTGTTAGTTCGTTTTTACAATATAATGAGAGTAAATAAAAAATTAATACAAATTATAAAGTAAGCAAATACTACTAACATTTGAAAAACTAGGTAGCTGAAAGAAGATCAGTAAGATCTTATCGTCAGAACCTTATACTAGTGTAAACAAAATATCATAAAGTTACTATAAGTACAACAAAATAAAAATAAAATATACATACATATATCACTTTGTAGTATATATACTAAAGTTTAATAAATTTTTCCATAATATAAATATTATTGTCAAATTTTGATAATACGGGAGAGAAAAAGATTTTTCAGCTTAACTTTAAAAAGATGCAAAGAAGTAGGTAGATCAAAATTAAAATTAGGCAAAACAATTTTGCTCCAAAGATGGGGTGCACGATAATCAATGCAAAATTGGTTAAAACTTGTTCGACAAAAAGGCTCATATAGAAGGTTGATATTTCTTAGAGAGTATTTATTGGTAGGTTTCAAAGTAATTAAATCATTAAAAACGGCAGGAGAAAGATTGTTTTTACATATATATACAAAGCATAAAATATTAAAAATATTAAGTATTCTCATTTCAGAAAAAAGATGTTTAGAGTGAGAATAACGATCAGCAAAATTAATTACACGTATGTTTCTGATCTACTAATTGTCTCTGCCAGTCAAGAATTTGCTTAACAAATAATCACTTTTTGCTTGTGCTTTAATACTATCAAGTACTTTTTCATTCAGTTTTATGCATTGTCAGTTTTATTATAAAACATTCAGAAAAAACAAGAAAATTTGCGGCTACAATACTTCACTAAAATATTGAATTTTTTCTCACTGTTTTTAATATGAATCAACAAGCCAAGTTTATTATATTATTTAACAAATTTTTGCCTTATCGTAGATAGGTATGTTGTATATGTTTTGAGTTCAACGTAAAAAATAATTGATAAAAACGCTTAGAGCACGGTAGTTGCTTCAGTTTTTGTTGTAATTAGAAAGGAAACGAGCGCGAACGCAGGCTTCCACTACCAGAAATTATACTGTCGAGTTACCGACGTTAGCGGTAATCGCAGAGGTCAGCCGGTGCGAAGTGCAATGCACAAGCCTCACTCTGGAAGAAGCCCCTTGTGGATCGAACTTACTTCCCAGTCAGGTAAGTATGTTGGCATTACAATTTTTTGGACATCTTAAAATTGTTACACAGTTCTGCTTGTGGGTTTATTTTAAAAACTCATTCAAACACCCAATCAAAATAAATAAGCAAACAAACAAAATCTAATGCTTCAAAGCGTTTAAATTGCTTCAATTTGTTGTTAACCAGTATTTAGAAACGAGAAATGGTTTTTTTATAAGTAAAGATCAGTAACACTGTCGTGTAAAAAATTTTCAAAATTTTTTTATAAATAGCCCATATGGTTAGCAATATTTTGTTTTGGCTGTGACATTACCTACTGCAGTATATTATTTTAAAAACAAAACCTAAAATGTAAAAAAAAAAAGTAGGTTTAAAAAAAACTTTTTTTCAGCACAGACAAAAACACCGATGGTGTAATTGTAAAACTATCCTAAGTTGTTGCGTAATCAATTTGATAAAACTGTGAGAAGTCACAAAACATAGATTTCAAGTTTTTAAGAAAAAATATTTATTATTGGAGTGAATTGGAACAGTGTGGGTTACTATATAATATATTATTATTATTGGAGTGGAATTGGAACAGTGTTTTTTTCCTAGAACTCAGAAAGGTAGCGAAAGGCACAGTGGTTAGAGTGCTGCCTTATAACAAAGAGTTTCGAGACCGTAAAGACTTCTAGGAGCATCTTAAGAACCACAACAACAGCAACAACAACAATAACAACAACAACAACAACAACAACAACAACAACAACAACAACAACAACAATAAATCTTAGCTTAGTTGATGTTTTTGTACTCGGAAGAATGTCTTGAAACATTTCTGCGTTGAGCGAAATACCGGGATAGATCTCAATTTGAAAAAAAATTACACTTCAGCTATCCTCAAATAATAGGATATACAAATCAACAACTCTTGAACATCGGAGATGTTTTGAAATTCAATGTAGACTCTAAGGCATGGGGACATTCCGGTTTTGTTAATCCTACAAAAAACCTTTTTTTTTTAATTTTATTTAAGAATATACTGCTCTTGAATTTTATTTTGTAATCATTTTAAATAATAAAGTGTTAAAAGACAGTGCTCTTTTTTTTTACTTAAACAACATAACTTGTACGTCAATTTTTTATTGTTAACTTGTGTTCTATAGGTGCGACTGTACCCCATTTATTTTTTACATACTACAGCCGTACTACAGTATGTAACTTTGATGATCAGAACATTTTAATAACTGTTGTAATAAAAACATTACTAATAATTTGTTGTTTTGTAGTTGTGTGGCTATTGTGCATCCTGGTTAGTGTTGAATGCTACCAGTGCAATTTAAGTAGCCACGCCCATTTTTTTTAAACTTTAACAGTGATCTCAAGTTCACTATTGATAAATATATAATTACCGTTACCTTTTGCTTCGAAGTAATTTCCGATTCGAAATTTTTTTGCATCAATTGAAAGAGTAAACACCGAAAACTGAGTTTAGTTTAGTTGAATTTTTCTGTTTTTTTTTTGTTTTTTTTTTCAATTTATTTATATTTTCGTTATTAAAAAAATAATCTTTTACAATGTTTTTACAACATAAAAAATAACATTAAAGTTTCGACCGGAGACATGGTCTAATCATTTATCCCCGTTAATGTAACTAATAAATTCAGCCGATAAAAGTGAAAAAAGAAAAATGAAACTAAAGCAAGAACTGATTTAAAAATCAATTTGCTATTTACAGAAAAAAAAAAAAAAAAAAAAAAAAAACTAATCATTTCTTCTCATTATTTTTATTTTTTTAATTCTCAATTTTTTTCTACTTTTATTTTTATTATACACGCACGCACGCACGCACACACATACGCACACGTACACACAAATATATGTCCATTCATATATATATACATACAAAATCAAATAAATCTGTTTTATATTCCCTCTACAAATTGCGTAAGATATAATAAATATTGCATTTACAAATTGCGTAAAATAAAGTAATCTCATACAAGTTCTAAGTACCATACAATATAATTAAGATGTTGCATCAATTAATAAGATTTTAAATAACTAAGATTATCAAAAGTTTTTAATAATAGGATAGTAATTGCTTTGTATCAAAATCAAATAAGTGTTGTTTTATTGCACGTTTAAAATGTTGAAATGAATTTAAAGTTTTTACATTACTTGTTAAAAGCAAGTTCCATAACTGCGGTCCTCGGCTGAATATCGAAAAATCAGCTTGTTTTGATATCGTTTTTGGTATAATTTTTTTTTTTTTTTTTTTTCTTTTTTTTTTTTTTTCACAACACAAGTATCCGTATATATTTCAATTAAACAAAATTACATTTTTTTTTACATATAAGTACAAAACGTACAATTAAACAATTTTTGTACCATTAAAACTTTTACAAGACAAATTTTACCATTAAAATTTTTACAAGACAAAATTCAAAATTCTGTTCAGCGCATGCGCGTTGTACAATGAACAAAATAAGCTAACTATTCGTTGTTTATAATATAAAGTGCTGGCTATTAACCCATGCATTTAAATAATATATGCGTCCGTAAATATAAGTCCGTCGTACGACAGGGCTACTAGGGACTTGCTTGTGGACGTTTTTGAATATATATATATATAATTATTCTTAAAAAATATTTTTCTTTGTTGTAAGGAAACTCGCAGAAGACTAAAATAGTCTTTTCATCGAGAACCTTTAATAATAAAATTTTTGTTGAGTATTTGTGGTTTAAAGAAAAAAAATAAGTTTAGAAAATGCTTGGTAGCATACCATTTTTAAACTTAAACATAAAAATAAGTATAATTATTTCATAAACATTAGGCACTCCAATTTCTCTTAGTAGTGGTCTGTCACTAGCGTATTTATTTGCATTTAATATCAAGCGACTTGCTCGTTTTTGTATTTTGTAGATCATATTTAAGATTATATTTTGAAAAACAAGTACTTGCCCAGATATTGTTGCAGAAGCTTATGTAACTATGAATAAATGCAAAATAAATATTTTTAAAATAATTTGT